AGCCAAATCATTGATCCTCTGGAACAAGTTCATGGTGACAGAGCATTAAAGAAATCAGCAACCATCAAATGGATATTAGTCGTTTCAGAAGCGAAATAAATGAGACCAAAGATATACCTCGCTGAGGCAGGCCCCGTTAATCATTTTGTGTGAAAACATTTATGCTGTCCGTGATCTCATTGAAAAAATTAGGCTAACAACAACTGACTCAGTAGCTGACACACTGAACATCTTCGTGCGTTCGGCACACTCAATTCTAGGCAGCAGTTTGGGACTGAGCAAGCTCTCCGTTCGATGGGCTCCCTGCCATGGCTGTTGCTCCAGATTATAGGCAATCAATGGCAGAGCTTTCAGTGGAAATTTGGATGAGAGCCCTGAAATTTTTCCGGGTAGAATTGTGACTGGAGATGAAATATGACTCTACCGGTATTGTAGCGGGAGAACTACCCTGCGTACAACAAAGTTAACGGGTCTCTGCAAGCGGGCCCTAACGTACGAGGATGAATCAAAATGGATCAACGGATCTTCAAAGGCCACACGGTATATTTAAATTTCGTGGAGAATCCGCAGCCACAACATAGGACTATAAACTAAATGCGTATAGATTTACAAGTACAGACAATATATGAACATTAAATAAAGGTAGTTATAGACATTACAAAGTGATGCAGGTCTTGCAAAGGTAGGCTGCTTATTCGCAATGAGCTGCTTCCCAAGAAAACTACATACGCTTACTTTTTCTCTTGAGTCTTGGTTAGAGCGGTGCGGCGGTGGAAGAAATCTAATAGCGCGGCCAAGGCTGGCCCGCTACAGTATGATTCCGAGGACGAAACTCAATAGAAACTCATTGGCTGCACAAGATCGAAGGGAAGTGGGCCAGTCAAAGAAAAATATGAGCGTTCGAATGGCCACTGTTTTATGGTATCCAGTTCGAAGACATGCCGCTGGTTGATTTCTTCACGAATAAGAAAACTATTACAACTGTTTATTATGAAAAGATTTGTAACAAAATTATCCAAGAAAAATCTCAGAAAAAAAGCCTAGGGAAGCTGCTTCTGCAGGTCCCCTTCCCCCACGACCATGCAACAGCGCATGGCATTCAATAGACATGAGCTGTGCTACGTAAATTTTGATGACATCATTCGACATTCACCTTATAGCAACGTTTTAGCTTTATGCGACTCCTTTTTTCAAATCTGAAAGATTAATTGAAAGTTACTCAGTTTCAATTTATTGAAGCAATAAAAAAAGCTGCCATAACATGGTTCAAATCACACGACTCGCAGTTTTACACCGATGAAGGCAATGGCTGCAGGTATCAGCGTTTGCTGAAATGTATTGACATTAATGAAGCATATATTGAAAAAAACATGATGAACGTGACCGTTTTTACAAACGGTTGTTTTCCATGAACTTTTTGAAGTCCCCTTGTACACATACAAATTTTTTTATATGTCGTTGGTAATGCCATAACGTCAGTTATGAAGTTTGCCTATCATTAAGACTTAGATTATAATGAAAAAAATACAAAAAAAAAAACGTAAAAGATGAGAAAATCAGCATATAACAATTTCCGTTCTCTTATTACTTCCAATTCATGCTCTTTTACAGATTCGTCTGTAATTTATCGACGCGACATTCACTGCAAAATACTTGAATGGCTCAATTATTATTACCTTAATTCTGAGTTTTAGCTGGTATGGACCGCCAACTGATAGTATACCACTCACGAAAGTAGACAGCTTGCTGTTCACAAAAGATAGGACGCTCTCAATGGTAGATACTCTGCGAGTGGGCACAGGATACTCACAGGTTCGGGGGTGCACAGCTAGGCATCCCGAACTCCTCTTTCTGAAATCGCCGACGGCACAGTTCAAATTTTTGACTGAATTATTAAAGGAGGTTAAACGCTGTTGTGAGTCACCGAGGTTTTACGTGATTACAAAAAAATTATGCTTCTCGAGTCGAAAATTTATATTCTCACATAGTCATTAGAGTGTGGAAATATTCTATACATCAAATTTCATATTATTGAATCGCGTATCGTCAAGTATCACGTCGAATAGATACTATGTAATGGTGCTTTTCTATGACAATTAAATGGGTATAAATGTGATCAGTCGGGGCTAGTGATGAAGGAATCTTATCTTATCGAATGTGAAATCGTAACAATTTACGTTCCCAGTGTACCTAAGACTCAAATTTCTGGTAGCAGCATTAAGGAACAAATTGAACGCATTATCATAAGGACGAATGTCGTTATAATATTCAGCGTAAAAAATTGATGTTCAGATGTAAACTCAAGCGTCGATTTCGAAATAAATTCATCATTTGCATAATGGTTACTTCATTAATACATTTGAATAGATTGTAAGTCAATTTTTTATTTGAAGAACATGATTAGACTCGGTTTTACGCCTGGTTCTTTACAAAAGGAAATGAGCAGCTAATATTTCGTCTACTCACTGATGGGTCACGAACCGTTACGCCAACCTGCTGCAGCAGAATAGCAGCAGGTTGGCAAATGAGCTGAATATCAGAAAAGTGAGTAAAGCTACTGAGTAGCTGAATTTTCATTTAATGACTGACCTAGCTGACCAATTTGGTGCCATTTGAATGAGTTTAAAAGCCACGTGATGATAATTTAATTAACTGTACCGATATGCAGGGTACAGTTAAAGCCAGGGTACCCGATAGCCTTATATGATCGCTTGCCAGCGAGCAAGGTCAAAGACATTCATGTTGCCAAATTTGATAAATTAATTTCATTGCAGGACAATTTACCCGCCAATATATTGCATAAGAAAACAATGTAAATTTTAAATTCGTTTTCATACATAAACTGCATTTTTGTGCACAGGTTTGCTATGTTACTTTCTGGCACCTCATCATGCAGCTAGAGACCGACCACGGGTATAGATCTAGGCAGGCTCTGGAGGCAGCCTGCCAGGCTGCCCAAATTAATATATAATATAATATGTCTGAATCAATTCTCATGCAACTGAAACGTGAATAAAAATGCGCTGGTTAGCCCATTTTTTCTGTTTGAGGAGACAATTTCTCTTTTGTGAACAGGAAACTGGAAGGTTACACTCTGAAAGGTACAAGATTATTACTAATAAGATATTATTATATTAGGCATTCGATCTGGGAATTTGACTGAGGCAATAAACATATATAACGACCTCCGAACGGATCATTCGGTAGTTTCAAAGTGCACATATATAATAAAATTGTTTCTTTATCTCATAGAAGCAATTAATGTTCGATATTTACCATATTGATTTAGTACCAATCTATGCCTCCTTATGCAACTCAAGGCCATAAAATGCCTAATCCTAAATACGGACTTGGTCAACTATCGACAGCCAAGTTGATCCATAACCGATAGACAATAAATCATCTGGCTATTTCATTAGCTTCTATTGACTGTTTATAACTGGTGATTTGAGGCTTACATCCTAATTACGAGCATGAATGATCACAACATTTATTTTGATTTCATTTCAATGATAAATTAAAACAATATCTTGAATTCTTTCCCATTAATACTTTTATATAATTGTTGATAGTGAATTTGCATCAATATTTTGGGTTGATTTTACACTACCATTATTGAGTGATAATAATATAAGTTTTGGCCTCAATGGTATTGATCCGATTGAAAATTGACGTCTGATCAGGTTCAATTCGCCATGCATGAATATATTTTAGAATGTACAGGATCTATTTCGGTCCAATATAGTCCAAGTACGAGCCCTCAATTTGTTGGTCTGGCCAAAACATTTCTTACCGTGCTCAGTAATGAACTAGATTATATTTCTTCCACGTGGCTGGAAGACAAATCAAAGGAAGACAAATCAGAGGCAACATTTGATGCTAATTGTCAACATAACATAACATCACATATGTGATCTCGGCGCTGAAGTGTAGGCCTGATGTGGCCTGTCGCCGATTCTTTTCCTTTTGGTTTTAATTGGTTTAATTTTGATAATCTACATTTTTTTATTGATTGTGTTCATTAATGATATTAAATTGATTAAATCGGTGCTTGATCTATCTAACTTGGGAATGAGAACGTTTTTTATTTTACTGGAGGTAACATGTCAGCTGGAACACAGCAACTCAAAAGTTCGCACTTAAGATTCTGTATTGCACGGTTTGAGGCAAGTGAACGCATGAGGAAAGTAAATATAGCCATACCATACAAGTGATGGTAATCCCTTCCGTGACTAAGCTCGGATTTAAAAATATTTGTAAAATGACAAATAACGCTAAAACATTGAACACACAGAACACAACCGTTGCACGATGCAAAGAAGAAATAAATTGGGCATAAAGCATAATTTTTTGCCGTGAGATGTAGTAGAAAATAGAGGGGGATTAGAGCAAAAACAGAAAATAATCCGTGAGAACAAACCAAACCGTTTCGCACTATGGTGAAAAGTCTGGACTAACAGATCAATATATAAATTTTCGAATTTAGATGTCCCTGGGCTGAAAATCCAGAAGTCCCTATATCTAGCAACATAATTACATGTTGGAATATAAGAGTTATACCCTCTCTTAATCATCGACCGCCACTCTTAATCTTCTGTTTGTTGAACTACGGAAAACGTTTTGAGATATTCTCTAGATAACCAATGAAATCTTGAATTCTAATCAAAATGGAAATGCATAATGTACAAATTATTCAAAACTGCAAATAAAAATGCATTGCCATATAGGAACCGTCAATTATTCAAGTGTATGGGGCTCTCAAGCTGGTTTCAAGTTACAAATCCATCAGGTGGTAAAGTACCCACCTACTTTTTTACAACACTTCTCTTTAACTTCACTTCTTGTNACAGACAATGCATGACAAAAATTTTGCACTGTCAATGTATGAATCAATCGATAGAATAAATAATTTTGAAAATTTAAAACATCTTTATATACTAAAAAAATTGAAAGTAAATTTTTTACAATATTTGAAAATAAAATTAGAAATTCATTGTACATGTGTATCATCAAAAATACTGGATTCTTAAGAAGTGTGGTCATTAAGATGTAATTTTTAAACGCATATTTCCACTCTAGAATAACTAAAAATTAAATTACAGGACAATAGAGCACTTGTAACTAACTATATTTTGCCGTAATATAAACAAACGAAGGAAAATGACATACAAAATGCCTAAGGCGTAGCTCAGCTGTTGCGTTACTCTTAACCACAAATAAAGACAAATTCGAACAAGTGACCGCGATCTGTAATACTCCCCTCACTCGCTCTTCAAAGATCCATGAAAATATCGGCAGGAATTTTCCCAATAAATATAATCTTTAACTTGGAAAATTTAGATTTGTAATTCATTTTCAATAGGAGTTTCTTTACGAAATCCTGGCAGTTGTTGTGCAAGACGTCGTATGGCTTTTCACTTATTGCCATAAACGTTTTCTTCCAAACTGAGATGAGATCATCTACGTTTTTCAGGTTATCGCTCAAACCAAGAGTCAGTTTAGGTGTAATTGTCAACTGAGAGGAGGCTTTAACACGATCTTCTTTCATTGACTTCTCACTGACTGCGCTTTCTTGGAGACTCCTTTGCACCAAGAAGAACTCGTCATATCTCTCAAAAGACCACCAAGCTTTCCCAATGCTCAAGATTACGAACATATGATAAGCATCGAGGGCGTCCAAAAAAGCGTCAAGCCTTGGAGAATCCTGGTACCTCTGCAGAGGAACTTTGTACAGTTTCACATCACCCAAAGATCCTCCATCACTCTCAGCGCAACCCAACATCGTTTCCCACAGCTGATCCAGATCCATTTCAATGACATATCCCGTTTCATTCTCTGCTCTCGGATCGAATAAGATTTTTGATGTTGATTCTGAGAAAAAATTTTTTTAAATGATATTTTAAACCTGTATATTTTCTCATAATCCTGTTTTAGACAGCTATGAGCAGGAAGACAATGTGTTAGATATAGTCGAAGAAGGATTAATTTTGATAAAATAATTCCATTCAGAAAATCAAATGGAGTCGCGTCAAGTCTTTTATAATATCCGTGACTGTGTTATGCCTGCTCATTGAAAATGATAGGGAAATAAATAAATAAATAAATAAATTTTAAGCGTTGTGATTTACGCATTGGTGAAACTGCATGTGGACTAACTCTGTTAGTGTGATAGTCATAGGTCTAGCGCGTGACCTGTCTAATCTTTGTCTAAAGCTGCCTATTTTTTTCAAACATACATTATTTTATATTCAGAATATATAGATCAATACACTATGGTATAATATTATAACACGTGGTATAATATAATAATATATGTTGAAAAAAAATAACAGTGGAGTATTTTTAAACAAAGATCAGACAAGAAACGCTAGACTAACGAAAATATTGGTCCAACGTCACACATATTTCAGTTTTATGGAACCTTTCAGATATTTTTCGATGAGCTGGCTTTAGACACGCGCGGACTCAAAAGAAAGCTTGAGAGATTTTGAAAAAAGTTATTTAGGCGAAATTATTCCGTCTTCAAGTGCACCTACAACTCTATCTTATTAATTTCTATTATTTAAAATAATACTATTGCTGACCATAATTGTTGATGATTTAGAACAGACGCCCAGGTGCAACCGAAACCACTTTATCTCACTTCCACCTGACGCGCTGCTCGATAGAATTTGCAGCAATTTTCCTTCGACATTAAAACTGAAGCCTTTAGTGCCATCGCGAATTTTAACATTTGATGAAGTTTTATTAAACAACGATGACATCTTCAGTGGAAACGCTCCCTTCCGCGCTTCTGTTTTGTCTGCACAAAAATACATTCAATGTCGGTTGAGCGTTCTTGTATAAACGGCTGGTGGATAAATATGGATGATTAAAATGAATTTGACGATTACGAGCGGCATTCATACTAAGATAATACGAAAAATAATTTGAAATCAAAGAAAAGGAGACTGACATTGAAATTTGATGATTAAAGAAATGGCATTGAAAAGTATTAGATTAATTAGGAATGAGATTGAGAAGAATTTTCGAATTATTAAAAGGGTCATGCGAGGGCCGGGTCACAAACGATTTTAAATTAGTTATTTTTTATTTTACCACACACGAGGAAATTTTTTACCACGCTAACCCGCCGTAAAATTCAAACGGTAAACTAACTCAGTAGGCAAATTAATAAAATATTAAGTGAAATAAATTGACATCAATGGTACATGTAAACGTCTAATATTTAGGATTTGTGTTACTCGGCATGGTACCTGGTGGCACGCTGTGATTGCTCGCAAGCTCCAAGTGGCACGCGGGGTTGCAAGGCGAATTAAGTCGACGCGTTAAGAAACATTATTGCCATCACTAATGCCACGTAAGCGAAGCTGTACTATCTCCGTAGAGTCTTAAGATGTAGCCATTTAACGTAATTTGCAATGAAGTTTTCGGAACAAAAAATTGAGTAATTATGAATACAATGTTGTTTATTAATTACTTAATCGAATTAAGATATTATTTGCTAAGTAATTAATTATGAAGTTCCCAGGTAATTTCGGGGGTTGCCTTCGTGGCTGTTACAATTTTTTTTATTTTAACAAAGGTAGCAAATCACAATTGTGTCTTCTTGTGGGCAAAAGCCGTAAAACTTATTGCGAAGGACGGTTTTTTCTCAAACATCTCCGTGATTTTGCAGCCTTCACTGTTTTATTTATTAAGATTATCATAGCATTGAACACGAATGTCGTGAGATTTATTATGCCCCTTTAGATATTCATTACTATTCACTATAATCCCGATCATATATGCTGTTGCGGGCTACGAATTAGTGTGATGATAGCAATAATTATCCGTTAACATGGCATTCGATTCCATTCGTTCTGTATGTCTACAACGTTTACCACCCGTTCTGTATGTCTGTCTACAACGTTTACCACCCGTTCTGTATGTCTACAACGTTTACCACCCGTTCTGTATGTCTACAACGTTTACCACCCGTTCTGTAAACAACTTCTGGAGGTAAACAACGTTTACCTCCAGTACTGTATGTCTACAATGGATCTTGTCTGCAACTTCGACCTAGTCACAAATCAGCACAAAGTAAATAAAGGTTTTAAAATGCTATAAAATCTTTACCATGATAGTAAGAAAGATTTTATTAAGGCAGGAATGCTGGATGAGCAAAAAGATGGGGTCGGAAAATCAGATCAGAAAAAGATGGGGTCGGAAAATCAGATCAGAAAAAGATGGGGTCGGAAAATCAAATGATTAAACAGCATGCTGAGCGCATGGGCCATTTATGAGCCTTTCAATTGCATCCATTTCTAAAAACTACGCAAATTAAATTAATACCATGTAAATTAAATGGATTAATATCATAAAAGTCTTTATTATTATTATTTTATTATTCTTACCTCAAATGATGAACGAGAAACTTCAGCGAAACGTGCGGGAAAGTTTTACAGAGAAGTTTTACAACCTCACTGATGAAGAGCTGCATCTCGACTGAACTTTGGGCTGCATATAATGCATCTCGTACCACTTATCATAAATCAGCTTCCTACCCGTTCTGTATGTCTACAACGTTTACCACCCGTTCTGTATGTTTACAACTTTACCTCCAGTACTGTATGTCTACAACGCATCTTGTCTACAACTTCGACCTAGCCACAAATCAGCACCGAGTAAATGAAGGTTTAAAAAATATAACTCATTACTCACTGTAGTGAGTGACAGAGAGCGCATTTTCTCGTCGACGAAAACTTGAGGTCACGAACAGACGGACGGACAGACGGACAGACAGACAGACGGACGGACGGGCATGGCGAGCACAATAGTGCATTTTTTCCATAAATGAGAAAATGCGCTAAAAATGCTATAAAATCTTAACCATGATAGTAAGAAAATTTTTAATTAGGGAGGAATGTAGGATCGATGACCAAAAAGATGGGGTCGGGAAATCAGATGATCCAACAGCATGCTGAGCGCATGGGTCGTTTATGAGCCTTTCAATTACATTCATTTTTAAAAACTGCGCAAATTAAATTAATACCAAATAAATTAAATAAATCAAAATTATAAAAGTTCATTATTGAAGCAGTGGATTCTTACCTCAAATGATGAACGAGAAACTTCAGCAAAACGTTCGGGAAAGTTTTACGGTGAAGTTTTACAACCTCACTGATGAAGTGCTGCCTCTCGACTGAACTCTGGGCTGCATATAATGCATCTCGTACCACTTATCATAAATCAGCTTCCATACTTCACTTGGATAATGACATCAAGAGGACTGCAATTGACAACGGGTTCGTTGCACTCGAATACGGTCAAAAAATTTTAGGGTAGCATATGTAAACTAAGAATCCCATGCGTTCATCATGTTACGTGAAAACTTTTCTTACTTGATACACTGGCAGGTCAGATTATTTGAAGAAATTTCAAATCAAGATTGTACGAAAACTTAACGATGAAAACTAACCAAAATTGCAGGAGAAGTTTGGCCAGCAGACACGTTAACCTTCCTTGCTGAAGTGCCATCTTCTCATGAACTCTTGACTGCAGATGCTGCATGTCAAGAGTTTCCCATGATAAGGTGCATGCCGAGGATGTGCACCCACAGTGCACAACCCTGAACGATATCCTTGTTTATTAGTTATGCCCATGAGGCCATACACTCAGAAGAATTATCGGGACACATTGTCCAAATTGTTTTCACATAGCACTGAAATATTATTTTAAAATAAATTAAAACAAATTGATTAACAAAGTTTAAAAATGTTATTTGGCTGTAAATGAATCGCTGCTAATTTCTTTTGATAATCATGTTGGTACATGTCATCAAGATAATATCTTACCTCTCAAGAACTGTCTCATGGAAGCATGTCGGAATAATTAATGTAAAGAAAATTGATGCAATTGATGCAACAGATTAAATTTTTCTGCTTGATTTTATGTTGCCTGGCTTAGAAACGTTCTGTTCAAGCAGTTGAACGTAAGTCGGACAAGGGCTTGAACGGTACATCACGTGTGTTATCTCTACAGGGGCAACGCGTACTAATTTGTTTGCTTTAGTCCTTCTTATATAAACAATCTGAAATCATCTTTTATAAACAATCTGAGTATGGCGCTCCTGCAGGGCATGCAATTCATGCTATATTCTGTCACTGAAATATTATTTTAAAATAAATTAAAACAAATGATTAACAAAGTATAAATTCTTGTTTGGCTGTAAAATAAATCGCTGCTAATTTTTTTGATAATCATGTTGGTACATATCATCAAGATAATATCTTACCTCTCAAGAACTGTCTCATGGAAGCATGTCGGAATAATTAATGTAAAGAAAATTGATGCAATTCGTCATACTATGTTGCCTGGCATAGAAACGTTCTGTTCAAGCCGTTGAACGTAAGTCGGACAACGGCGTGAACGGTACATCACGTGTGTTATCTCTACAGGGGCAACGCGTACTAATTTGTTTGCTTTAGTCCTTCTTATATAAACAATCTGAAATCATCTTTTATAAACAATCTGAGTATGGCGCTCCTGCAGGGCATGCAATTCATGCTATATTCTGTGCGTTGTCACAGATCTTGCGACCACCATTATATCTATAAGGAATGTTTTGCCGATATCTGATAACGGCTCTATAAGTTTCATTACTTACTTCATTATTAAATCTGATACATTACATTTATCAAGTATCTACAGTGAGTGCAAAAAAGTATCCGACACGAAGGAAAAACTTTATTTAATTAAAGCTTATTCAACAAAATAACATAAGCAAACACTATTCTAATGTAAATGTACATGGGAAATACAAATAGCGTATCAAAACAACAATAGCATTAAATGTTGTTCTGATAATTACAATTTTGTAAAAGTCAAGGTTTAAAAAATATCCAACACATAGTAAATAAAATGACTCAATACTTCGTCATGTGACCTCTAGCAGCCAAAACTGCTTCCAACCTATTGGAATACTTGATCACGAGATTAACACATATGCTAAAACGAATTTGAGCCCACTCCTCCTTGCACATTGCTTTCAATTGCATAAGAATTATAGGATCTCTATCCTGTTCCCTCAATTTCAATTCCCGCCACAGATTTTCAATGGGATTGAGGTCTGGCATTGACTTGGCCATTCCAATAACTCAATGTCCCTCTCCTGAAACCGTGCAAGAGTTGCCCTAGCTGTGTGCGCCTAAGGTCATTCTCCTGTTGAAATATCCAACTGTAGCGGTCTAGTTTAATATTTAAGATTTTGTATTAAGAAATGAAAATATATGCTGCCACCATATGCTGCCACCTCCAAACTTCACTCTTGATACGGCATTTTCGGGTGAAACGCAGAGTTCTTCTGTCGCCAAACACGACTGACAAAGTTCCGATCCACCAACTCAATTTTAGTCTCATATGACCATAATATTTTATCCCAAAAGCTTGAAGCCTTACTCACATGTTCTTTAGCAAAGTTCTGGTGGTTCTTTACGTGAATTTCCTTCAAGATCTTGAAGGAGTTTTTCTTGGTGACCGGGAGTGTATTCCTAGCTCTCTCTTGAAGAACTGTCCTAATTGTATTCCTGCAAACATTTATCCCACTTGATTGCAAATCTTTCTGCAGTTCAGTTCAGTCGAGGATTATTCTGTATTTTTCGAACCAAACTCCTAGCTGAACGGTCAGAATTGTTTGTATGACGCCCGCAACTAGGGTGACTATTCGATCGAAAGATGGAACATTTCCACCTCCGAACAGTATCACCAACTGTCGAAATTGGAATATTCAAAACAGATTAAATTTTTCTACATCCCAAACCATCTCTGTGTAGCTGAATAATTGATTTTTTAGTTGATTCAGGAACTTCTTTAGTTTTAGGCATTGTTGAAGAGCGTAAAATTTAGGGCACCTTCTAATGGCGATGCCGGGTAATGAATAACTGCAGTCAAAAAGATTCTAGATTCTAGAATATTTCCCGAACATAATGGATGAAAAGTTATTGACGAATCGAATTCATTTTTACGATGTGTTGGATATTTTTTTAACCTTGACTTCTACAAAATTGCAACACATGATGATATTGTTGTTTTGCTTTGATATTTACATTTCCCAAGTAAATTTACATTAGAATAGTGTTTGTATAAGTTATTTTGTTGAATAAGCTTTAATTAAATATAGTATTTCCTGTGTGTCATACTTTTTTGCACCAACTGTATAGAGCAAAGGTTGTTTTTAATATTGACTAATGCATTCATTCAAATATTTCAGCCACGTTTATTACAGAGTAGCCAAAAATGTCCATTTCTCATGCAAATCAAATAAAATATCGAAAAAATACTTGTATACGTGCACCGGTACGTTCGGTGCGTACAGTGCCAACTGATTGTTCGCGGAATCCCAAACGTTCCTCGCCCAAACTTTATTGCCCAGCAACGCGGAGTCTTGCCGTTGCTTTAAACTTTACAATAAATTAACTTAATGAGCATTTTGCAATGCAATGCAAGACATCACAATTGCAGATGGCTCATTGAAACTAAATTGAATCTACTTTCACTGTTGTGTCAGCACTTAATTAATTATCCATAGTTGGCAATTATTACCCGTGAAAGCAATTTCCAATTTTTTACATCGCGTTTGCCCAAACTTTGCAGTTGAAAGCAGGCATAGCAGATGCAATTATACTGGGTGTTTAGCCCATGATTTAATGTGGGCCGGTGTTGCTGATGGGCCGGTGTAATGAGCAGGCATAGTTTCCAGAATCAAATTTGAAATTTTCTTATTCAATTTATTTTACACAGTCTAATCTCCATTCATCAAGCTAATTGCCAACTATCACGTAAGCATTATCTGTCCCAATTGATAGCAGGCTGGTTACATTTAAACTTGCGTCCACAATGTGAGTGACATCACAATGTTCAAGCTAAACTAGGTTCAGGAACATTGGGGATTAGATTATGAAAATCCTCAGAAATTTTTGAACGGTGATATTATTTGACTCTTCGAGAGCCACGTCTAAATCCACTAATTCCGATGTCATTGACTATGTCTTTTTCAAAAAGTTTGCTTGTCACAGATTTAATTATATATAAGCATTCTGTTTGGCCGGGGCAGTTTGAGGTGTGTGGTGTCACTTTAATTGTTACGATGTATGCACAAATCAACTGAATGATTTGTATTTCAAATAGACAGCTGACAAACCAAGCAAGTGTTCCTTTGAGATTAAGCACTGCTTTACTGTAAAATTTGCTAACAATGTCAATGCAACAGTTCTTCAAGGCTATGCTTTGGTTTGTTACTTCGACTTTGGATACTCGCTATATATAAATCTGGTTAACTATACATTCGTAACACGTTTCAACAGTCAACATGAGTTACACCTTCGTTTTCAATCATCGGCTCTGGCAACCAGTAGTAAAATATTCCTTGTTTGAGTTACTTACTTCGGAATTATGTTCGTTTTTTTCACCTTTTGAATTGGGCAGACACACTTTGATCTAAACTCGAAAAAGTACTATGAAATTAAAAAGTACTATGAAATTAAAAAGTACTATGAAATTATAATACCTGAGTTTACCGAAGCATTCGTCACAGCGAACCTTCTTGTCCCGACGCTTCAACCGTAACATGATGCAATGGCGGTGGCCGTGGCACAGCGGGAGTCGGCCCCTATACTTGTTTCGTTGGAACGCGTTACAAAAGCTTCTGAGATAAAAGCAACAATGTTTTATCTCAGAAGAGCAGAAAATGTTTGCTTTAATTTTATTTTTACTTTTTTATATATCATGCGCACACATTACAGTAATTCCATCAGAAAAAGGCCGGAGTGAACAATTTGTTGCTAGATTTCTAGCTATCGGATGGAGTTAAATTCCTCCTCCCTGATGAGCTGGAAATATGCTAAATATGCTAGAGTCGTGAAGTCCCAAAAAGCGAAAGGCAAAAGTTTCATAAACCTATTGGAACAATCGCAGAAGTATTTTTAGAAGAAATTACAAACATTATGGTTGAATTATAGCTATAAAAACAAATATCTAGATAGCCAGTTTGCATAAGTGCCGAGGTGAGAGTATGGCAATATTAGCAATAACTCAATGAATAAGATGAGAATATACGATACGTTTACACAAGAATATTCAAGGCATTTGCAATATGCCCTAAAAAAATTCAAATTGCCGAAAAAGTTTACTAATAAAAACTCGTTACCAAGTGGAACTTGGCGGCTATGAAACGAGCGTGCCACCTATTAAGATCAGCGCGACTCCATAACTACCGCCATGCAGACGCAAGTCCGCAGCAACAGAGTGAGGCAGACGTGAGCATTTGCCAGCAGCAACCGACGACTCGTTTGCTAGCTTTATGGTCATAGCCTTGATCATGACATTCACTGGCAAGTGAATTTCATGTTGGTTTGGCTATGCTAGGCAAATTTTGGCATGAACTTTGTGTATATTTTACATCAACACTAAGTGCATACAATGAATTTTTTGTGTGAAAGCTGTCCTAAGTTCTAATTCCATGGAAGTATTCGCAAGGAAATTGTCGTATTCAAATAATTATTGTCCTAAAAAAATGATTTATTTAAGACAACGTCCTCATAATCGCATTCATACTTCAAGACACTATCCAAATAAGAATAATTCAGCTGGCCCCGATTGATTGTGAAACTCTCATACGCTGCTGTGAAAATCCAACCTGGAATATATTGAATGTGCTGTAATAAGATAGTTTTGTACAATGGACAATGATCAACGATAATTATGATTCTTAATCAAGAATGTGGAGCCACATTTTTCTTCTCATCGTACACCATACAGTCAGCGCACTGATTCTCTCATTTTTGTCTCTTTTTATTCAAATTCATTCCATATATGATGTTTCCCTTCCAAAACATGCAATTATTCTGCACCATGAGTTGTAGAAATGAGTTTAAATATTAAAGAATATACGTCACGTTACAGAAACGCACTCCATCCATCACGAGACATCAAGGTTAATAATATTAATTATTGATGGGGAGAAATTCAAGGTGGTCATTCCTTGATACATTATTAACATTAATTCGAGAACGACTGGCGCTAAGATTTATAGTCGTTTTCAGCATTTTTATTATTATTTTGCATCCCACATTAAATTGCGCTGTATTTCTGTCTTTGTATCAAGCGAAACTCATTGATTGTTACCCTAGATGAAATAACCAAATAATTATTCGAAGACGTGTTTCAAGCCTTTCATTTAATATAGCCCGTTTTTCATTTAATAGCCCCATTTTTTAATAGCAGTTCTCAAATCAGTGAATATACAAACAAAACTAGAAATTATCTGCAGGTACTTCGCTAAGTTTTTAGGTGTCACGAACGAAGCAATGACTCTTCAAAAATGTTCAAACATTCCAGACACTGTGATCAAATAATATTGGCCACAAGCCGTTTTTAGATATTATTCCTCACCTAGCATCGCGTTCAAAACTGATTGTCTTAGGTATACATTAATCATAAAATAATTTATAAAAATGACAGAGCTAAGACTTCTAAATTTACAACGAACATTTTCGTAAAACTACGTAGGATGTTTAGAATCCAATATCTGAATGTGGCATTTCATATGTTTACGTATAAAGGGAATGTTTCATCTTCAAACACTTTCTTTATATAGGAAGTTTTGTTATCAAGTCACTCCTGGATGAACAGATTTCTCATTTTATAATCGAATCCCATTTGAAGGACGAACTTTTGTACGAAATGCTGGCAGTTGTTGAACAAGACGTGAAATTGGCTGTTAATTATCGCATTGAACTCGTTTTTCAGGACTGAGATGAGATCTTCTACGGTGTCCAGCTCGTTGCTCACGCCAAGACTCTCTGAGCGTCTTGTCTGCAGCAGTGAGCAACCTTTCACACGGTCTTTTTTCATTGATTTGTTAATAACTGCATCCGCATGACGGCTCCTTTGTACAAAAATACCCTCGGCATATCTCTCAAAAGACCAATAAGCTCGCCCAATGCGTATGGTTACAAACATATGAAAAGCATCGAAGATAAGGCTGAAGACGCTGTTCTCTGCTGGAGACTTCTGGCTGCTCTCTAGAGGAACTTTGTACACATCAACAGCACCCAGATCTTCACCGTCCACCTCGGCGCAACGCAACATCGTTGCCCACAGCTGATCTGGCGATATTTTGTACACTAGTCCCAGTTCTTGCTCTGTTCTCGGGTCGAAGAAGATCGTCGAAGAAGAACCTGAGAAAATATCAAAAGGAATGAGCGTCTAAACTTGTTGAGAGTCTGAACTTGTTGAGCGTCTGAACTTGTTGAGCGTCTGAACTTGTTGATGCTTAACCGCCCGGCCTCCTTGCCGATTCTGACCAGAAACTGGCGCACAGAGCTGGGATCGAACCCGCGCCTCTCTGCGCCAATCTTGGTACTGTGAACTGTAACCACTGGGCTTGTTGAGCTTCTGAACTTGTTAATCGTCTGAACTTGATGAGAGTCTGAACTTGTTGAGCGTCTGAACTTGTTGAGCGTCTGAACTTGTTGAGCGTCTGAACTTGTTGAGCGTCTGAACTTGTTGAGAGTCTGAACTTGTTGAGCGTCTGAACTTGTTGAGCATCTGAACTTGTTGAGCGTCTGGACTTGTTGAGAGTCTGAACTTGAAACGTTATTTTAGATATACTGTTACGCATCTAGAATTAACTGTTGGAAAATTAGTTGACAATAAGGAAGAAGGAGCTGAGCGACGGGGAGCGCTGAGCCCCCTTCTTTTATTTGACGGTAATTTTGAAGAGCGTGCGGCGGAGTAAAATAAACAAATTACTCGTAAATTGTTCGATGAATTTCTGACAGAATTTATAATTTCTATAAATACTGACGATCGCACTATTAGGAATTAAAATTTCAAGGCCTTCATTTTACATTCGTTATTAAACAACGAAATTTTCGCAATTCAATGTTCAATACGCGTTGCAAACAATCATAGGCCCAAAATGAGATGCCGGTTATAGGTTTTAAAATTCTAGCAACCAAGTAGACCAAGTAATAATTTCATAATTTCATTCAGTGACATAATTTCATTTAAGAACTCACCTACACCAATTAAGAGCGCTGCTCGACGAGATGCTCTTCCATTTTCCATCAACAATAAAACTGAAGCCTCTGATGCCGTCGTAAAACTTACGTCTTGCTGAGCGTTTTGAGAGCAGCTGCGATGAATTCCAAAGAGACATCATCTTGGAGGCAGCGTTTACTTCAGTTAGGCCTGTAATATAATGAATAAGATTAATGTTATGTGGAGCCTCAAATTTAACTTGAAAGGGAGACGATCATTAATATGTATATTGGTTATTAATAATATAATATCAATATGCTTCAGTTAGGCCTGTAATTTAATGAATGAGATCAATGTCAAGTGGATCCTCAAATTTAACTTGAAAGGGAGATTATTATTGATATATATATTAGTTATTAATAATATTATATCAATATGCCTCAGTTGGGCCTGAAATATATTGAATGAGATCAATGTTATGTGGAGCTCCACAGGTAACTTGAAAATGAGAGGATTATTGATATGCATATCTATTATAAATAATATAATATTAATATGCCTTAGTTTGGCCTGTTGTACAATGCATGAGATCAATGTTATGCAGAGCCTCACAGGTAACTTGAAAGGGAGTTGATCATTAATTTGCATTTAAAAATTTTTTTATTTTAAAATGAGGAATGAGGTAATATTCTGAGGACATGGGATTTCTAGGGATTCATTGAAATTTAAAGCAATATGATAGACGATTTTATGGAGACAAAAATTTAGGAATGATTTAAAGCGAGTCGAAAGAATGACGAATAAATATATTATATTAAAACAGCTTAAGAATAGTTTCAAGCTATGAAGTGGGTCGAGAAAAGACTAGAAATAGAAGACAGAGTGAAATGCATTCATTTTGGGCTGTTACTATTATTAACTATATTCTATACAGGACACTATATCTCAACAGCAAGTTATTGACTAATTTCGCCAAGTCACACAATTTACAAATTTTTCGTGGGTAACTTACGGATGGTAAAGTTTAGGTATATCAAATAATTTTTCATTATAGTAACAATGTATAACAGTGACATTTTTGTCTATCTATATAAACAATGATACCTACATAAATGTTAGTAATAATTTTGAAAGCGGTAGAATGCCAATACGGCTCGTTGAATAGGGTAATTTTGATGGGAAAGTTTGGGAGCCGCAGCTTTGTTTTCGTTTTCAAAATGCCACTGAAACGAGCCAAAACAGGGGAAGATGACAAAGAATTTCTTCGATGATCGATTTTACAAAATTATATCGCACAAGGTATGCGATTTAAAAATTTTTAATAATAGATGATGTAATCATCATAGTTATTTGTAGCCGTAATAGTAGTAATCTACAAGATTGTCATGGTATTTACCGTTGTTGAAGTTATAGAAATGTAACGAATGCAGTGAGTTACTCGTATAATGAGTATTCTGTTGAAGCCCAAAATTCATTAATTGAAACACAAAACTTCCTGCAAATAAACATAAGACTATTTCAAGAAATTCATCAAGATTGCACAAAAACTTAACGAGGAACTCTCACCAAAATCGCAGGAGAAGTTTGGCCAGCAGACACGTTAACCTTCCTTGCTGAAGTGCAACCTGCGACTGAACTCTTGACTGCAGATGCTGCAGGATATATAAGGTGCAAGCTGAGGTTGTGCACTCACAGTGCACAACCCTGAACTTTTGTTTCGGCGCCTCCCTCGAGTTGTGCATACACGACATATACTAAGAGAAATTAATGGGACATATTGTCCATATTGTTACGCACTCGATCCTTCACATAGCACTGATACACCGGTACAGAGGGTAAACTTGTATCTGGATGACCTAAAAGAGTGAAAAAAAGTGAGTGGCCATCAGAACAAATCTTGCTCATACATCAGAGTGTAGAAAAATGTAACCTAGATGTTTAATACTCGGCGTTTTGCATTGCTTTTCGTTCCTCAATCATTCTTGCATCGAGATTTTATTGAGATTAATGCTAGCTTTGTACGCGAGAAATCGGGGTGGAAAAGTTTTAAAATATTGTTTGAATTTAAAATAAATCGTTGCTAATATATTTTTATAATCATATTAGTACTTATATTATTAGTCTGCTTATATGGAGGTTGATTCCGAAACGTTTTCAATACCGATATGGTGAATTTTATTGGCGTTTTCTTTGCTTTTAAATTCCTTATAATCATATTGGCACAAAATATCATTAAAGTCTATTTTTCCGCTCAAGAACTTCCACATTGAGTTATGCAGGAATAATTCGTGTAAACAGAAGTGGTGCAATCGGCCAAACTCGCGCGTTTGCCTGGCATATAAACGTTCCGTTCAAGCCGTTCACATGTGTAGGGGACAAAAGCATCTCTATAAGGCAACGCGTACTAATTTATATAATTGTTTGCTTTAGACTTTCTGAAAACGAACTTAAATAAACAATCTTAGTATGGCGGTATTCGGCGTGGAATTCATGCTATTCTGATCATTGCCACAGATCTTGCGACCACCATTATAACTATAATGATTTTTTTGCATATGATATCCAATAATGGCTCTAAAATATTTTATTTACTTACTTCATTATCAAATCCGCTACATTTCTCATGTACCTTTAGAATAGATCGAGCATAGACATCTTTCAATATTGAACGAATGCATTACTTCAAATATTTTCACCCCGAACACGTTTCTTACAGGGTAGCCAAATATGAACCCAGTCTTCCGCTTATGAAATAAAATCTCAGCAAAAAATCTTTGTATGCCTACACCGGCCGGCACGTTCAGTGCGTCCGCTGCCAACTAATCGTTCGCGGAATCCCGAACGTTCCTCGCACTAACTTTATTGCTGAGCAACGCTCAGGCTTGCCGTTGTTTTGAAATTTACAATAAATAAACTATTTAGGTGGGCCAAACGAATGTGTTACATTGCAATGCAATGTAACACATCAATAACTTCACACTTTAAGAATTTCAATGCGTGCAATTAATGACCAGAGAATGAATTATAATTTTTCAAGAAGTCGAAACACTCTTTAGATGACGGAAGCAACCGAGATAACTTGCACTCAGTTTAAAAGAGTCGAATTAATATTATGACATTGGTAGATAAAAAGGCAGATTTAGCAAATTATAATAATATATTAACGACGTTTCGATTTTAGCAAAATTCATTTTCAAGTTAAGAGAAGCATTGAATAGTGAAATTTTGTTGGACATGAGTATATAATACACGTAAATATGTAGGATACAACACAAAAATAGCGAGCCAGAAAGTCTCTCTGCAAACAATCTCAAATTTTTAGACAAATCCGGTAGCTTGGAAGTAGATAGCTGTACGCGGTCCAGTCCTAAGTGATGAAGGTTCCAGCAATCGTTGGTCGGTTAATGTTATGCACCTCTGCATGACGATGGTGGTGGATTGCTATTATTCCATTGTAGTCCAAATGATGACAACAACGTCACAGTCCAGACCATTCGCAAAAATGGCCCCTGCCAAAAAGAGGGAGTTTTCCAAGAGGCCAGCGTAGTTTATAAATTTTCCTCCAAAGAAGATTGCAAATTTCTTCGTCATTTGGACTACATTTGAGTAATTGGACTAACAACCACGGCATTGCGACCGTCTCACCTGCCATCAGCAACCTGGAGGGCAGAGAAACCCCCTGAGACAAACTCACAAGACTGTCGCTCGCACCGTACGTGCTGGAGGAACCCACCAGCATCATCATACAGAGGTGCACAACATTAACCGACCTACGATTGCTGGAACCTTCATTACTTAGGATTGGACCCCAGCTATCCATTTCCAAACTACAGGATTTGTCTAAGAATTTGAGATTTTTTGCGAAGAGACTTTCTGGCTCGAAATTTGTGTTGTATCCTATTTACGTACATTATGTACTTACGTCCAACAAAATTCTACTATTCAATGCATACTCACCGAGAGTGGCCATTATCATCATCCACCATTATCATCATCCCCCCTTTATTCACTATATTAATTAAGAAAAACACAAAAAATATATAAAGAAAAAAAGCGAGAACGCATGTACATATGTAAATAGACTACCACCAACCTAGTGGCACCGCACACACACACACATATTCAATACTTCTCTTAACTTGACAATGAATGTTGCTATATTGGAAACGGCGTTAATATAATATTATTACTTGCTAAATCTGCCTTTTGGTTTACCAACTTCATCTAAAGAATGGTTAGACTCCTTGAAAATTATAATGCCTTCCCTGGTCATTAATTGTACGCATATAAACAAGAAAATTATTTCATCTTATAATAACTTGAAGAATTGCGGCAACTTTAATGCAATAGAACGATAAATAAAAGTTGATGGCAGACGCTAGTAACATTAGGCAACTGAGGGGCAGGAAGGGAGTAGGGCTTGAACGGTACATCACGTGTGTTATCTCTACAGGGGCAACGCGTACTAATTTGTTTGCTTTAGTCCTTCTTATATAAACAATCTGAAATCATCTTTTATAAACAATCTGAGTATGGCGCTCCTGCAGGGCATGCAATTCATGCTATATTCTGATCGAGCGTTGTGAAAAAACTCTTGCGACCACCATTATATCTATAAGGAATGTTTTGCCGATATCAGATAACGGCTCTATAAGTTTCATTACTTACTTCATTATTAAATCTGATACATTTCTCAAGTATCTACAGTGAGTGCAAAAAAGTATCCGACACGAAGGAAAAACTTTATTTAATTAAAGCTTATTCAACAAAATAACATAAGCAAACACTATTCTAATGTAAATGTACATGGGAAATACGAATAGCGTATCAAAACAACAATAGCATTAAATGTTGTTCTGATAATTATAATTTTGTAAAAGTCAAGGTTTAAAAAATATCCAACACATAGTAAACAAAATGACTCAATACTTCGTCATGTGACCTCCAGCAGCCAAAACTGCTTCCAACCTATTGTAATACTTGATCACGAGATTAACACATATGCTAATACGAATTTGAGCCCACTCTTCCTTGCATACTGCTTTCAATTGCATAAGAATTATAGGATCTCTCTCCTGTACCCTCAATTTCAATTCCCGCCACAGATTTTCAATCGGATTGAGGTCTGGGATTGACTTGGCCATTCCAATAACTCAATGTCCCTCTCCTGAAACCATGCAAGAGTTGACCTAGCCGTATGCCTAGGGTCATTGTCTTGTTGGAATATCCAACCTCGACAAAGTTGCAATTTTTCGGCTGACTTCACGAGACATCTCTCAGGAATGCCCCGTAACATTTCGGAGTTCATTCTTCCTTCTATGGTTCCCAATTAGTCAGGGCCTGTAGAAGTGAAGCATCCCCAAAGCCTCATGCTGCCACTTCCAAAACTTCACTGTTGGGACGGCATTCTCGGGGGAATGTAGAGTTCTTCTGTCTCCAAACACGACTGACAAAGTTCTGAACAACCAACTCAATTTTAGTCTCAAGTAATAATGTCACTAGATTGCTTGAATCGCAGATTCACTAGAAATTTAAATGCGAAAAAAACTCCACAAAAATTCAGCATTTCTCTATTGAAAACGTTTCGGAGACCAGCTCAACCTCCACTAACCAGTATACAGTAGACAATTTTTATACTTTTATTGACCGCTTGAAAGATTTTACTGATGTTCAGGACTTAACAATAGCATTAAAAAAATGGAAAATTTATTTACAAATATACCGCTTTTTGAAACTACTGAGATCTGTCTAAATACTTTGTTTAAAGATATTCATGATACTGTTATTGGTTTGAACACAAATTTTTTAAATCCCTACTGGAATTATCAGTTCTAAGTTAGATTTCCATATTTGCTGGTAAATTTTACAGACAGATTGACGGTTTGGGCATGGGTCTTCCCCTCGGCCCAACCTTTGCGAATATTTTCATGTGTTTTCACGAGGTGTCATGGCTGACCAATTGTCCTCCCGATTTTAAACCAATTTTTTATAACAGATATGTCGATGACAACTTTCTTATTTTCAAGCATCCCTCTCATGTAAAACTTTTCTTCGATTACCTAAACTTGCAACATAATTCTATTAAATTCACAATGGAACTTGAATCGAACAATAGTTTGTCCTTTCTAGACTGCAATATTACTAAATNAATTTACAATAAATAAACTATTTAGGTGGGCCAAACGAATGTGTTACATTGCAATGCAATGTAACACATCAATAACTTCACACTTTAAGAATTTCAATGCGTGCAATTAATGACCAGAGAATGAATTATAATTTTCAAGAAGTCGAAACATTCTTTAGATGACGGAAGCAACCGAGATAACTTGCACTCAGTTTAAAAGAGTCGAATTAATATTATGACATTGGTAGATAAAAAAGCAGATTTAACAAGTAATAATAATACATTAGCGACGTTTCGAATTTAACAAAATTTATTTTCAAGTTAAGAGAAGCATTGAATAGTGAAATTTTATTGGACATAAGTACATAATACACGTAATGTATGTAGGATACATCACTTAAAATTCGAGCCAGGAAGTCTCTCCGCAAGCAATATCAAATTTTTAGACAAATCTGGTGGTTTGGAAATAGATAGCTGGGGTCCAATCCTAAGTGATGAAGGGTCCAGCAATCGTTGGTCGGTTAATGTTGTGCACCTCTGCATGATGATGCTGGTGGGTTCCTCCAGCAC